GAAGGAGACCACAACAACCATGAGATTGCTCCATGGCCCTCTCTGCTATTAGAGAAGTACCAGGAGCAACCCGCATAGCACACCGCCAACCGAGGTGGACCACCTCCCTGTGCGTTTCTTGGTTTTGCGCCCTGCTGGATTCCTGGGCATTACTGAGCCCCCCACCACGCAAATTGGGGGGTCTAGATAGATGCCTAATAGGCCTGCGTGATACTCCAGGTCTTTGCCAATCTGTATATACTATATATCAAAATCCGTGCAGCAGTTCAAGAGTAAAAAAAGAGAAAGAGTTGAAATCATACCTAGGAGTAACTACAGACATAAAACGTTCTTATTTTGTGTTAAGAAATAAATAAAATGATTTTAGTTGAATCAGACAGTAGGTATTTAATTTCCGGTAATATCTAACAGAACCGTGCGAAAAACCTCAAATAATTTTTATTAGATTTTGTACATAATTAATTGTTTTAGTGTTTTATTATACCTTTAAAAATATTTTTCAAACTACATAATAGTAGTCCGATGACTTTGAGTAATGTTTGGAATAAGTAATCAGCAGAACTAACAAGGGAGTCAAAAAAATTAATATGAATTAAATGTATTAATGGTTTCTATTCATCTATGTCATGAAATCTCCAGCTAACTTTGTATAGATACAGCTTCTCTTGTTAATCATAAGTGTTTTATTGCAATTTTACATAACAGCTAAAAATATGATTATTATTATGAAACCTCCCAGTCAGCAGTAAAACCTTAATGAATAATATACACATAAACCTTCCTCATGAATCAATCCGTCTATTGGTGAAAACCGTACGTAAATCTGTTTGGTAGTATTTTAGTCCAGAGAGACACGGTGGGGGACTTTGTTTTATAATACATATGTATAGATTATCACTTTTTTTTTCTAAAAACTTCAATGGATATATCTGATAATAAAAATTCATCAGTTCTTAGTCAATTTTTAATAAGACCTTGTAAAAACCAATGTTGTAAAGTAAATCGGGATACTGAGATAATTGTTATGTTTATAATTTATAATTCTAATAAAAAAGAAGTGGCACATGTTAAAAATTTAAGGATACTTTAAATTATTAACATGAGGAAAATAAAATGAAAAGGATCTTTGAAACTCGGGGTTTGGCACTCTGACTTATGGCCTAAGCCAAACTTAAATAATTTACACGATTGATAGATAATACAACTTTACCGAACCAGATAAACAACTTATATGGATGATTGCACTCAAAAAAGATTTTTTTAACCTTAACATTTTGCCTAGCAAGCTAGAGAGAGAGCTCCGTACTTTACAGACTACTAAAGTAGACTAATTGTAAGTGAAACTACAGATGTAGTTCATTAGATCTACTATCAAAGTTAAAATTACCGCAATAAAAATTGTAAATGTTCGAATATATGGTATGTTAAATAAATTCTATAAGATTTACGCGAATATTTGACATTTTTAATAAAACTCTTTTCTTAGTCTCTTCCGTGACCATGATTGCTGTAAAGCATTCATAATGTCCAATGGAACCATAAATCATAATAAACCTGCGATAATATAAGCTCTATGTTTATATTCGTACATCGACATAACACGTCACAACTCTAAAAGAGGAAATAAAAAATTAGGCAGGTTTGGTCTACCTGCGCCATGACTCACGGACATTTATCATCTCGTAATTGCGTCTGGTTCACACCATTATATATTAAACTATATCGATTTTGATTATGCTGTTAGTTACGAGGCATTCAGTTTTTTCGTATTCTTGATTAAAAATCAAAAATTAGACATTTTGTTTTATCTAAAGAGTAAAAACCTCAAATCAATTAAAAGCATCGCAGATATAATTCGTAGCAACCACAAAACGGTTAACATGTTAATTTAGGTTATATTAAACTATCAGGTTTCAACTCACAAACTTCCTTAAATAAGCTTCTTTCTTACATAGTGACAAAACCAAACATGTTATAAAGTATAGATTTCTTTACCTCTTTTGTGTTAAATTGAACGCAGTATGTCATGTTCCCAGTTCCACCACCATATTGTTTCATATTATTACCAATCACTACAACCTATTTCACTGACATTTGATACACCTAGATAAAATGTCGTTTTTTCCTTAGCAAAAAATCTGACAGTATTTCCTTTGCCCTTTCTCTCTCTCTCTCTATCTCTCTATCTCTCTCTCTCTCTCTGCTTGTATCGAAACAAAAGTCAAAAAGTTGCTGTTGCATTGAGATTATACATATATACGTATTGATGTATATGGGCGTACATACCAAAGCCGAAACAGTTAATCATCTACTTTGTTTGTTTGTCGGCCTGTTTGTTTGTACTCGCTCACCTCCATAACGGCTCAGCCAATAATAATGGCGCAGGAAGAGGATTCTTTCGAAAGTTAGGTAAGTAGTCCACTTTTTATCCCGGTTTATAGAAAAGTTCTCATAGAATAAACGAATAGCTTGAGTTTTTTAGTACGGGAAGAGAGCTGAAGCTCGATCGCTAGGTTTTGATAAACCTCACGAATCCTTGAAACAATCAAAAACAATAATTGGTTACTGTAATTGTGAAACAAATACGTCTTAATTAATATATTACTTAACTCTGAAACTTGATATAGATTATAAGCGAGCTAATTAAACGCGACACGCCAACAGTCTTACGTAACCCGTATTAATATTTCAGAACACGCTATCTTGTAATGCACAAAAATGTCATTTTAAAACTGATTATTTACAAAAATGATATCTTCCACCGATATTATTATATAGATAAGTGGCATCGTGGCTGACAAAAAAGGATTTCAATATATTTTTTATCGTAGCATTTTTAAATAATGAAAATATGCGCGCAAACTCTAGTGTACTCTCTATTTCTTTTTGTTGGATATATTGAAATTTTCTGCCTTACATTAACAAGTTATGATAATATTAATTTTATAATCTGTGGCACAAAATTAAAATATTATTGTTATCTGTAAATACATATATATCTCTCTATGATTCTTGGCATAACGAGTGCTACATAATTTATTTATGTCCTCCAAATAATCCACTAGTATAAAGTATTCAACATATTATTACATTAAAATTAACACACGATGATAATGAGACCTGAAAGTGATAGATGGCGGACAGCCGACTATGGATAGGAATATGACTTCTTTATTTTTTTCTATTTGGTTCATAATAAACGCAACATTTTTTAATTAAAATATACTTTTGAAAAATACATATCGCCATTTAAATTCTTACAAGGTGTAATAAATTTATAGCCTATGCTTAACACAACAGGACATAATGCAGTACGTTAAGTAGGAACAGACCATCCGTGATTTATTGCGAAAACCTACGCTGACACTCAAATCCACGTATTTTTAATATTGTGTAACCATTTATTTAGCTCTAAACAGTACAAATAAAACCTCTCTATTACAGATTAAAATCTGTATATTAAAATAAATTAAGTTATTTTTCTTTCTATTCTTTTAGATTTACTATAATAACTAAGTATTATATATTTTTTAAATAAATTATCTATACCTACATATAATAAAATTGTAACTAAGCCGAATCTGTGCATTAAATATTTATGGAAATCTTATATACGTTATTATCGATACAGAGGCCGAATCTATAGTTAATAATTTTTGTCTGTCTGTCTGTCTGTTAGCGCATCTAATTAAAACCACTGGAGGGATATTGATGAAATTTGGTATGGTGATAGCTGGTTATCCGGGTCAACATATAGAATACTTTTTACCGCGGGAAAATGTCTAGTTTCTGAGAAAAAAAACAAAAACTGTAATATAAGAGTATGTAGAACCTAAGAATTTGGTTATTGGTAATCTGAACGCGGGCGGAGCCGCGGGCAATGCTTGTAGAGCATAAATCCACAAAAAGCAAAAGAAGATAACATCTTCTAACATAATCGGAGAGAATGTAATGCCAAGCAAAAAATATCATCGCATTTCACCATCGAAACGTTGCACTCGTATGAGATATTCCAATCCGTGAACTCGAAAGTAATCGGCAAAACCAATGAAACCACTTATACGAAATAAATAAGATCGATAACTGATGTCGAATTTTGTAGCTCTAGGATTCACACATTACATTTCTGCCATTAATCTGGCACTGAAAAATATAAACCTAATTTTTATGAACTATTTTAAAAAATAGTGTAATTTCTACTTTGGGGCATTTGCACACTAGCTTTACGTATTAAGTACATATCGACAGACTTCTCTACCTTTTTGAGGGCAAACTCCAATATTCTTTGTATTTACCATACTGAAGTAAATAACACGCTTTGATCGGAGAAGAAATTGAAGCTCACGACCGCTGGTTAAACCACACTGCCCTATACCAGAAGGCGTAATCATAATGATAATATAACCAACGCAGCTAGATACTAAGAGCTAAAATATATATACTAAGTACTTAACATATTTAGTATATTACAATATGTCAAATATATATATCTAAAAATTATTTGTTTCCCGACGTCCCCTAAAAAGTGAATTTTCATCTTGAACATTTTGAGAAACACAATATGATTTTACCAAAAATAAATTTAGATTTTTATGCGGTATATGTTGTTTTAATAAAAAAATAATATCTTGCGGGTTTTCATCGTCCCTTACGTTGAAAAAAAAATTCTAACGTACACGTACATATCTTAGGTAATATATAAGTATTATTTAATGTATACTATGATTGCATCGCACCTGTGTCCGTGTTGTTAAATCCTCTTACCAGAACTTGTGCAGTAAAGACTGCTTTTAGGCAGAACAAAAGCAAAGTCAAAGTGCATTTATATATTGTCCATTTATGGTGTATGCAATGAAGAACGAATTTAAAAAAAACAAGATCCTGTGTTTGTCCCATGTAATCAGCACATCGTGCACACTACAAACCTAATTGGCTGGGGTCCCGCGGGAAACGGCAATTGCTTTGGCCTTGCCGATCTATCTTCGAGATAACTGCTTTTAATGAGAGCCGTTGATAGGTTTCAGGTTGCTCGTCTGCCCACGCTTGACCTGGCCTTTGATAACTCTGAAAAACTACTGTTAGTGAACATGATGCATCGCAAGTTGAATGGGATAGATCATAGAACTTTTTTTCATACAAACAAACAAATACCGAATAAGTACGTAATAAGTAGTTATATTAGAGTGGAGCGAAAAAAAAATTTTTTTTCTTATCTTTGGGGTAGAATTTGTATCTTAGAAAAAACTTAATTTATGAAAAAAAAAATTTTTTTACTCAACATTTTGAGGTGACCCACTGATTTTTAAAATAAATTATAATTAATTTTTGGTTTGAATGAATATTTTTTTTCGAGTGATCATCTTTAAAAACATACAAGAATTGACGAATACGTATAGTTATTTTCTACTCAACTTTCACTGTAATACAAAAAAGTAACATGTTATTTTTTCAACTTTTTTAAAATTGCAATATTACGTATGCATGCGCATACGATTCAAGTTTCTGATATATGTATAGGTAAAATCCACCATTTGAGAACTAAGACAATTATTAAAAATAAACAAATTAGTGATTTATGTGTTAGGTCGTAATCAAATAATAGCGTCATAGTAGGAAACAAAGAAGTACGATAAACAACTTTTGTGTTAACCTTTTCACATTTTTAACAGATAAAAAAATATGTTTATCCGTTTGTCTTTTGAGTAAATCTTGGTAATACGTTGAAACACAAAATGTATCTTTTTTCCATTCGGCATTACGAATATTTGATGATTGATATTGTTTCCATTAGCAGAAAATATAAGAACGTAGGTAAGTATGTGCCATGTCAAGTGTCGTACACTTTCTATGAAATTAATGCATTTAGGTGCCCATATATGGAAAACGCATTTGGAAATCCAATGAGGAAAACGTGCATGTGTGCGTTGAACAGATTTTATAATACTTCTTTCAAATAATGTTAATAGGTACATACTTTTGAATGTTACATGTTTGAAAAATATTCCTCGTTTAGATAAAAAAAATTCTTGCCATTTAGAGACTGTACTAGATGAAGGCAGTGGAAGCGCAGTGGTAACGTGGTCGCTTGGTAAACCGAGTCAAGCGGATTCAAATCCTGGGTCTCGCACCTCTGATATTTTCGAAAGACACGTGCAGTCCGCCAACCCACACTTGGCCAGCGTGGTGTCAGGTTAGGTTAGCTATTTTTCCACCCTTAGGGGCGGTATTTTTTTTTTAATTTAAATGGGACCAATCTGGAAGTATACACTTTCAAACAACACAAAAATTGTCCAAATCCGTTAATAAATGACGGAGTTCTGAGGTAACAAACATAAAAAAAAATACAGTCGAATTGAGAACCTCCTCCTTTTTGAAGTTGGTTGAAAAAAGATACTTTACTATAACTAAAAACTTCAAGAGAAGCCAATTTAATAGTTAGTCTTATAAAATACATTCATAACAAGAATAAATTAAAGTCTTTTATCGGGTCATCCGATTTGACTTTGACTTGCATTCATTGCGCTGTCGTCGTTTGCGCACCACATTCCATCCAATTTACATATTATATGTACGATCTTTCATAGATTAACATTTCTTTTCTATAAAACATTTGATTATAATATTTAAAACTAGCGACTCACCCTCGCTTCGCTTGGGTTCTTCCCTAGGTTGCTTCCCCATATAATCTTTCACTCCAATTTTCACCCCCTAAGGGATGATTTCCGAGATAAAAAGTATCCTATGTCCTTCCCGGGGTCTCAAACTATCTTCTTATCAAATTTCATCTAAATCAGTTCAGTAGTTTCGGGAGCCTATTCGTTTTTCTCAGGATCGGGTGGACCTAGCAAGTTAAAATTTATAGCAGATAAAAAGATATGGGCAAATTTAGATTTTCGCGAAAACTTGTAAATATCAAAATTTACCTTAATTTTCATTTCTTTTTTCGTAATTTTCCCTTTACTTGTGCTGTAAGACCTTGCTTTTAACTAAAATTGACAAGTCTAGGTCAACCGGAACTACCCTATAGGTTTTGGGTCGAAAACCTATATGGTAGTTCCTGTTGATTTTCTTATGGTTGTTAATCACGAAATTTGGCACAAATCAAGTTCTTACAACACAAATAAAGGAAAAATTCCAAAAACTAAAAAAAGTTGAAAATAAGTTAAACAGATTTCCTACAAATTCATACAGAACCCTCGGTGGGTGAGTCCGACTGGCACTTGTCCGTAATTTTTTTTCCAAATAATATTATTCCGGGTCACAAATATTTATTAAAAATATTTATCTCTACACACATCTCTGTGAAACTCGGCTACACAATGTTTTACAATGCTTCGTACACATTTTCTATCAGAAAACAAATATCAAACGAGGTGAAGGCTCTATTAAACTATTTGAAGTAGAGTTAAGCCTTTTAGAGCCTAGGCTACTTATATATGAAATTAACATCGAAATAACTTCGAAACGCCAACGTCAGTTTATAGAAAAATTATAAGAGAGCTTTTTTGTAGAGCGTTTAATTTTATACAAGAAAATGATTTGGTCTAGCCTTTTTGATGAACCATTAAAGAGTTATAAAATTCTAAACTCAAAAAAACAAGCTTTCCCATGTTAATCATATGGGAAATTGAAATTTATTATGCGGGATATCTTAATATTAATATTAAGGGTTGGTTGTGGCTTTCACAGGTTTTTTTTTCATCATTTCCAACAATATTTTCGATATATTTAAGAAAAATAAATAGCCGATTTTTTTGAATTAGTCTAATTGTAGGTACCTACATATAAATTCTACAATTTATTAATTAAAAAAAGTTGCGTTGCAATGGGAACAAGGGTACTGGGCGATCCACTATAGGTATTAGTTGTCCTACTGGATGTTATTTCTTGAAGCAACGAAAAAAGATGCCCACTTTTGTATTCAGTAAAGACCTTGTAATTATCATATAAATTTCCAATATTTGACCAGACTATATATTTTGACTGAGGACCTGCAGCTATTCATGCTGGTCACTAAGCCCTGACTGAGCCAGGTAAAATGAATTTTAGAAAGAGTTTATATATAAATGAGGTTCTAGGTAAACTGATTGAGGCTTTAAAAGATTTTATTCTACTTCAAAAAGCCGCTAGACCTACGCCTAAAACTCTCCCCGGACACTGATAGTTTTGGAAAAATATTTTTTCTCATACTCGATCCATATCATCATAAATAGTGATTAAGAAATATAAAGTGAAGCAACTTTGTACACACACATATTAACTGAAATATCTACCGCATAGACGGTTTGTCTCAGTATTATTTACCGCTGTGATAATTATTATCATTAAAAATATCCTAATGCGTCATATTTAGTGGTAGCTCAGTGGTAACGTGCTCGCTTGGGAAACCAAGTGAAGCGGGTTCAAATCTCGGGTCTCGCACCTGTGATATTTTTATGTGCGACTCATTTCTAACATGATCCCCCCAAAGGAAAGCCCAGTAGTGGGACGTTAAAAAGAGCTGAATTCATATTCTTATCAAGTCCAGTAGGTAGAGAATAAAGTAAAATATGCCATTACATGAGAAGAGAAAGCTTATATACATATATATATATATATATATATTTATTTATTTATAATTAATTATTATATTATTTAACCTTTCACGATCCCAATAAGAGCAAAAGTGAGGAGTCAAATGATAGCATGCGTTTAATTACCTAACAAAGAAAGTATTCAGTCCGACCATCTGTATCGCAGTAGCAGTCTTATTCATAGCCTAGGGTTGCCAGAATAAAAACACCAAAAAGGTACATACTGTTTATTGTATAAAACGGCTTATTACTGTTTACTGAATAACTATTAATATTAGCTGCCTCGGTGATGTAGTGGCTAGCATGAATGGCTGTGTAGGTTTAGATGTTAACCCTTTTATGGGACTAGCACCACACTTGGACCGTACTACACGCATGCATAAGTAAAAAAACGTGTGTGTGTAGGTACTTATGTACGCACGTAAAAAGTTATATTTCTTTGGCGTAACACAACAAAAATAGCTAAAGATTTCATCCCGTATGTCAAAACTCTCTGTTTGTAAAAGGAATGATAAATTAATAAAAAAAAATTAAATAAGGCATATTAGGCATATTACAATCATATATTTATAGAATATCATATATGGAAATAATATAATATTATATATCATTTGTCAGACAATAACAACGGTTACCATGGCAACAAACAGTTCTATTTGTTGTTGTTTAATCAGCTAACTTCATCATGTCGCTTTTTGACTGTCGCTGTGCGAGCGTCGTAAAAATTTTACTCTCATAATTTTATCCAAACGTCCCAAAAGAAGTATATCTTCAAAAATATTTAAAAAACAAAATGAGAAATCCACAGTTATTATAGATAAAAAAAAATCGATTGATTCTGTTAAAATTATAATTAATCATTTCTTTATTTAAATTAAATACTATAACAAAAGATTGGTCAATTCTACTCGTAAAGCTGGTAGCCCTACCAATGATACATATTTGACCTTTTTGCCCTGTTCAAGTGGTCTTGCTCTTAATAATGCCTACATTCAACAGGTATTGCAGTTATTTATTGTAGTTTCGTGACCTAATGTTTTATGTTTTCGTTAAAAAAAAATTGAACTTTTAAAGATCTAAGCAATAAATCATAGGTAACATCATATTCTAATATCTATACATATAATAAAATTATAACTAAGCCGAATTTGTATATTAAATATTTTTTATCGATACAGAGACCGAATCTATAGTTTTTAGAATCTTTGTCTGTCTGTCTGTCTGTTACCGCATCACAGAAAAACCTGGAGGGATTTTGATGAAATTTGGTATGGTGATAGTTGGTTATGGTCAACGGGTCAACATATAGGATAATTTTTACCGCGGGAAAATTTCTCATTTCTGAGAAAAAAATACAAAAAATACATTGTAAGAGTATACTAATATGTAAAACCTAAAAATTTGGTTTTTGGTCATCTGAACGCGGGCGAAGCCGCGGGCAATGCTAGTTTAAAATAGTTTAAGAAAATTGGCATATTGAAAATAAGAATTTGGCTTCCTTAAACAACCATATTAAAACAGTCTATATATAGTCTAAACTGATCTAAAGTATAAAAAGAAATAATATAATTTAAATAGGTATAAAGTTTACAAATTCCCTATCTCAAGAAGCTATTCAAAGTTCATAAAACACTTGTAAATACGCTTCTTTACCAATACCAATCCTTATCCCACATCAAGAGTATCTCATCTCTTCTTCAGGTCCCACTTTCTGTAATTCAATTTGGATATTATATAAAACCAGCAGTACCTGCGGCTTCGGGCACGCTTAAGCTTTCGATCGCTACCTACCAAACTTCACAGAATCTCCGCAGAATCATCCCATCAAAATTCCCGCTGGGTAATCTGAAGATTGCCTGATTTCATGAAAATTGCCCTAGCCGTTTTGGAGTCCATATTGAACATATATACACACATCAATTTTTGTATATATAGATTGTAAATGTCATATAGGTCATAGGCCAATGGCGTAGCTATGCCAATGCAACCAATGTGGTCGCGTGGGGCCCCTGAACCAAGAGGGCCCCAGCGGGCCACAAACGATTCTTTTATTTCAAAACATTTTTTTCGAGGACGGCTCATTATTCAACGACATATTTTTTCATAATAGGCAAAGGGGTGCCCCACTTTTTTTGCATTGTGGTCCAAAAAGTCTAGTTAAGCCTGGAACTAAAATAACCCATTGACATTTAAACAAAATACTTAATACTAGTTATTGTCTGCGGCTTCGCTCGCGTGAAAAGTGGGTCGAGGTTCAAGGATGTTTGATCGCAGGATGCGAAACTTGCCAAATTTTATCGAAATTTGTTTAACAGTTTAAGCATAAAAAAGTAACAGACCAGGTTACTTTCACAATAATACCTAAAATTGGTATGGATTTACGATACTCATATTAAACTTATAAAACGATTTTGATAATATGGTGTGAAGAGCAGATATTGACTATTATACAATACACGATTATATACCTATTTAAATCTATATCTCGGGTTTTATTCGCGATTACTTTATCTCATGACCCCAATGCCCTTCTTAAGTGGACTTATTTGTTTGATAATCACTCATATCTACTTCTGTTTCATGTATTCACAAGTTTTTATAGCATACATAATTTAAAGA